TTGTTTTTTTTTTTTTTTTTTTGTATTATAAATAGCGATGACACAGCGATGCTTCGGTCACTATAAGCCAGAAAACTCAGAGGAAGTAAATGTAAATTAGAATTCAGCGGCCCGTGAAGTCCATAATCGCGCTTCGTCTTTTCTATGATTATTAATGTAAGGAAATTTAGCCTTCAGCTATTCTTGTCGCTATCATCAAGAAGTATTTTTGAATAAACAAAAAACGCGTAAAAAACATTCCTATTCGAGATAGAAGAATGGAAGATGTATATTAAATTTATGTTGAAGTATTTCCAAATATATCCCTGCAAATTGTTTGAAAACACGTAAAAATATAACAAGATGGATTCAATATTTTATATCTCAGCGTGTTATACAATCAAAAAAAAGAGAAAGAATATTTGTTTCTATAAATAATACACTTCTTCGAGAAAAATAAGATTTCAAAATTAGAACAATTATAGCATAAATAGAGAATAAAAGTTGTAAAGTTTTTTTGATAACAATTTTTTTCCGTCTTATGGAAGGATTCCCCTGACTTATCGAGAAATACGAGATACCATATTAAATATTTCGCAATTATAGTAATTAGATAGTAGTGATAACCGTAATATCATGAAAATATTCAAGAAATGAAAATGTTTTGATATGTAATGAAACAGTGGTGAATTTTTCTTCTGTAATCGCAACAACAAACTATGCTAAGATTTATTAAGCATCAATTGCTTGAAATTTGCTTTTTAATGAACTATATAAAAAGTTACATATTGTATATTAATTTATATATATATAATATGAGAACATCAAAAAGAAAATTTTATAAATTTATATCATAAAGAAAACAATTATTTTTCTTTATGTTATACAAGATATTAATATCATAATAAAAATTCTATTTATTGTAACAGAAATAATAATATTATAGTAAATTTTTAATTTTACATGCAAAAAATATTCTTATAAAATAAGACATTCGTATAGTTTTTTTCTTTTGATATATGACCATGAAATACACGCAATAATTTCAATGTATGATTATTCAAGATATTTGATGTTCTCATGTAATCAGCATAATGTTCGCTTCTGCAATGAAAATATATGTACAAATATATGCGTCATCATCTCAAAATATTTTCCTTATTCTGTTTATGCATATAAGCGCGCTTTTAGATAGAGTCTTTTAGATAGATTTTAGATAGATTTTAGATATGATGGAATTTTATGATAGAATATTCTCGTTTATATGACTAGAGGATGTTTCGCCAGTTATCCCGAATATTCGAAATTTGTTGCTACGTGAATTTCGTCATTCCAAAGCATTGAAATATTATGCTCGTTTGGTATAACTGTTATATAATTATTTTGATCGTAAAATCTTTCGACATATTTATCCATAATTGTTTACTACTGACCTTTGTCTGACATCGAATAACGATGGCGATCACAAACCGGTATTATCAATATAACCGAATTCCGTTTAGCCGGCATTATTAGCGACAACGAAATTCGAATGATTTGTAAGAAATAATATAAATCAAAAACTTTTTTGCGCTATCACACATACATTCACACACACATATGTATAAGACACAATTTTACATATTGTAGAAAATAATTTACATAGTTATCATTATTTATACGATTACATATTAATTAATTCGATAATCGTTATTATACGCTAAAATTAAAATTTAGATCATTAAGGTGACATAAACGAAGTTCACACATATACACACATACACACACAAATTATGATATTTAGATATTGATCATAGATAAACGACAAACTGACATTACTAGCTCTTATTTAAAAAATTCATGAGAAGTAATTAAGCTATCTAAATGTTTTGATCGAGCACGAAAATTGATTTGATACTCACCAAGAAGAAAACACAAGAAACGACGAACGAGCACCTTCCACTCGGAACAGCGATGCCCGATTAGCACGCCTCTGAGTAGAGAACTGCGATTTTCTTAGTATAATCCGCAGAATCCCTACTCCGAGCATTTATCACCGAGTATTCTCCCCACCTTTTTCCTCGCTGTTGTCATACCATCATTACCACTTTGAGATTGTAAACTTGGAGAACCGGCATTTCCCACTCATGCGTTGGCCCTGGGAATTTTTGATGCGATTTTCCTGGAAGTTTCAGCAGAAGAATTCGCACGATCGTTCTTGGAATGCGAAATTCCCGTTCCTCCACACAATATAACATATGTTAAAGGGTTCAAGGGTTAAGCAAAACCTTCATATATTGATGTTTTCTAAGTAGCAAGGAATGTCTCAAAACAAGTAAAAGAACGAGAGTTTTTTTCGATAACACAGGTTTTTGTTGCATCCAGAGTTGATCTCGTCGCGAATTTTGCAATAAATAACAAGAGTTTATTTATTTCTTGACATTAGAATCACTGAATTATATAAATATCGCAATAAAGAATTTGAAGTTTCATACGCGCGTTTTTAAAAGCCGAAAAGTGACTTCGTTAAATTGTAATCGGTAATAATATAAATGCACATAAAATATGCAAATCAAACATAATTTTGGTATTCGTATTAAATTCTTGCCGAATTGCGATATACTCAACGTGTCTCGCTATTCTATTCTATATTCGGTAGGTCAGGGACTTACCAAGTTTTTAGTGTTAAGGTCATTTATGTCTAGATGAGCATTCTTAGAATGCATTATTAAAACAATCAACGGCTCGTTTGCCATGATATTTTAAACAAGATTTTTTTTGTACAGCTTATCGTAGGAAGAAGAAAAATATCCGAATTATAATTTAAATTTATGATATTATAATTTGAATTATGATTTAAAAAGTTACAAAGAAAACAATCGCGGATCATTGAAATTTATATAATATGAAAACAATGCACATCTCGTTTTCTATAAATATATTAACAATAAGACATGATATCAATCCCCGATTAATAGAAATATAAAAGTATAAGTTTAATGGTCAGCAGATTATAAATTCGAAGTTATGTTAATATCGAATTTATTTACTTATTTTTATTTGTGATTATTTATTTATGATAAATTTTATATACAACTATTTGCTATAACTTGATTTGATTCTTAACTAATAAATATTTATAATATTTGTTGTGTGTGTGTGAGATATCACATTTTTATAAAAATTTTAATAAATCAAATGACAAATTTCGCGAATTAAGCTATTCAATAAAAATCACATTGATTTAATAATTTAACATACTATTTTATAGTTATTTATAGAAAGCGTTTCTTTGAAGTTCTTGCGATAATTTTATGATAATTGCACACGTTTGAGTCCGATAGGCCTTTAAATTAACTGCAATTGCTGCAATTTATGCAAATTAACTTTATAATTTTAGATTGTATTACCAAACAGACTAATATAATGAACATAAATAATTACTAGACATCTAATAAATTAATTACAATGGATTACTAATGGACTAAAGTTCAAATAGAGATTTAAAGTTAATCCTTGATCTTCAGTACAGAATAGTTGAGCAACCGCGTAGTTTCCTACTTGGTCCTCTCTCTCCTCCTCTCTTTTTCAGATTTTTACGTTATAATTGATAATAATAAAAAATCTCAATCATGTAGAAAATTAGTTTTTTGAGCATTGCCAAAGAAATAGAAAGTTTGTCGATTCGTCTGAGAGTCATTGCAGTGACATAATATAACATACATTCTAATATTCGGAAATTCCAAAAACGTGCGAGAACTTATAAATAATATAGAAAGAAAAAATAGAGAGAGTCAACACACGTGAGCTATAATGCATATTACATGCTCATTGCAGAAATACAATCTACGCGGATTTACCTAGCATGTTAAAAATGGGTCAATAAAATACATGCCATTTAATCGTCATAAATGACGCACGTCAATATATAGAAATTATCGGAATTATCGTGTGCTTTACCGCTGCGCTGCTTACGCGTAGCACTGACAGGTATCAGCTGTTGCAACATCGTTTCATTAGCACTATGTCAATGATCAATTATATTGCCATTTCATCCAAACGCAACGGGAAACAATATGAATCATGTTTTTCGCAAATCATTTCAAACGCATTTATCACTCGGAAAGTGAACAAAATGCGCAAAATGAATGAATTAAAAGAATTTATAAAAATCTACTGTGCAAAATGTAAAATCTTAATCTATAAAATCAAAATCTTTGGTATCGTAGATATATGGAGAGAGAGACATGTCTTTCTACTCTTATAATCCTTTTTACAATCATGAAAGTCTCAAGATTAACAAAGCTTATATATGTATTATTTGCAATAAGAAATATGACAGCAACTTGAAAAGAGCTATGCGTTAAGATATTCTGCTACTATCTAAATGATGTAATCATTGACAGTAATTATAATTGTTAGCAGGAAGTCATGAATACACGCGTTATATATATCTCCCTTTCATATAATAATGTAATTAAATAATTACTTCCTCATCAAAACAATGTTGACGTATTGTTATTTAAAAACAAGCGTATCTTTTGCGCATATTACTTTAAAAAAAAAACGTATTCTCAAATTAATTTTTTTGAAGAGATTAAATTAAAAATCAAATTTATTATTCAATTTTTTTTTTTTTTTTTTTTAATTATTTCTGATTTATTGCACATATATTATGTTATTTAGTCTAAACACAATGTTCTTATATTTATCCCTACGTTGTGGCCGTAGTAACCCAGGTTCGAATCCTGGTCACGGCAATGTGAAAATATTGTCACGGTGGGAGTTATTTTTTGTAATTATCCATCACTGCCTTAATAGCCTTATGCGAGCATTTAAATATTTTCGATATTTTATATACTTACATCATCGTCCTCCGGTGTAATTTTTTGAAACTCAGATTTTTATATATTATAATTATCTTATGTATATATTATCTCATTACAAAAATACATTAGTTATACCGTTTATTACGATATTAAAGTATGTGCTTAATTATGAAAATTCTATCACTGGCGCGAACATTATGCTCAATTCTCCAATATGCAATCAGTTCTTCCAGTAGCCGTGATCGTCTAGTGGTTAGGACCCTACGTTGTGGCCGTAGTAACCCAGGTTCGAATCCTGGTCACGGCAATGTGAAAACATTGTCACGGTGGAAGCTTCTTTTTGCCAATTTTTTAATTGTTAATTATCAAATAACGGTATCGCAAGCTTAAATATCTATATTTTATATATTTGTCTTTTATTAGTGCAATTTTATTTTAGAATCAATTTTTAGATATCACGATAATGATATTTATGTACGATACTATGTGGAATATTTATTAAATTGAAAATTCGGTTTTATATATATATTAAATTATATCAGTTGTTCTATATTTTTTATAATTTATTTTTGAAGGTTAATTACACAAAAATGCGCAATTACTTATATTACACAAGTAAATGGTGTTTATTAATTCTATAAAATGAATAATATTTATAAATATTTTATAATGCAAAGTATACATATATACATAATATAAGTTTCAATATTTTCTAACAAGTACAATTGTATAATACATTCTATTGTATATTATAATTCGTGAGCGGAGTAAAAAGATTATGGTAACTGTATGATCGTAAAAAGCACATGACAACTATTGAACTAGAAATATTAAACATCCTACGCATCACTATACGCCAAAAGCCGCGAGCTGTTGATCTATCCATTGACGATGTTGTGATGTACTGGCATATACCGCAGGAACATTAGAGATTCCGCAATCAATACCCCATGATACAATGCCAGCCTGAAATTTAAATTTATCTAAGCTTATATATATACACACACACACATATCCGTATATATCATATTTCTTATATCATTCAGTATTAATATGTGTCTATCGACTCAATTTAATTTCAGATATAATTAAAACACTAAGCAAAATTAACAATAAATAAACAGTAAGTAAGTAAATAAGAATTGAAATAATAACTAAAACAAAATAAGAGTGTAATTGATTAAACATATAATTATTTTAAAAATTTAATATTGCGGATATCTAGAAGGAGAGAGAAAATATATATATTTAAAGAAAAGATTTTTAAAATTTTTAGAGGGAGAGAAAACATTTATATATTGATTTCTGACTCACTTGAAAAAATTGTCCCGTCGTAGCTTGACAAATCAGAGGTCCACCGCCGTCACCGCGACACGTGTCTCTGTTCGTTTCGCCGCCCGCGCAGATAAATGATCCGTGCAGTTGAAAGTACTGGCCCAATTTCGTACTTCGTAAACGCGTCTGACAATCCGCATGATCGACGATAGGAAGATCGATCTTTCGAAGCTCGGCCTGATATTGCCCTTCTGATCCTAGAGCATGATTTTACGAATGAATGCTAAATTGAAAGAAACGGTAAGGAGTCTGCAAAAATCACTTTTGAAACTTACCGAACGAATTGCTACCCCATCCTATTCCGTAGCATTTGCTCCCGGCCGGGAAGACCTTACCCTGTTCAGGAAGGCAAATCGGCATGACATTCGCGCTATAGACGACTCGTTTTTCCAGAATAAGAACAGCTACGTCGTGAAATAGCCCACCGCTGTAGTAAGACGGATGCACAGCTATTGTGAGAATATTTGCTTCTTGAATAGGCAATGGTTGAATGTTACTTCTTATATCCCATTGACCGAAGCGTGCAATTAAATTTTCAGGTTTCTGACTGTTAAGAAATTAATAGAAGAAAAATATATATAATATATCGGTCGATTATATCAACACACAAGTTCAAAAGACGTTTCAAAAAGCTACAATAACATCTCTTAGACATTTTTCTGACAGCTTTTTTCCGTCTTCAATTTATAACGCAATAATGCATACTTTAAGTAGTAATTTAATAAAACATACTTTACAACGCAATGTGCGGCAGTGAGGACGGCCTCGTTACTTATCATCGAAGCACCACATTTGAAAACGTAAGAATCGCCGGTTGTGGGCTTTACGAGAAGCGCGACCATCCACGGGAATTCGGCGAAATAAGTCTTCCCGGAGTTAGCGGGAGCAGGCTGCGCTGTAATAATTAGCGATTGTTATTATTGTCATTCGAATAAAATTTTAAGCAAGTTTATACTTACGCGGTGCGTAATTGTTGTTCTGTATACCACAAGTAATCTCCGAAGTCAAATGATCGAATCGTTCGACAGCGAGATCTGTGGACGAGGAAGCGGAAACGCTGCGAAGACCTTGAAGATCGATTCCCACCAGTCGACAGCATACTTGGTCGGTCGACGAGCAAACCGTGAATCTCGGATCTATTATACCCAGACCGTCCGGGCTTACTACGTTTCCCTCGGAACACAGCCAAGTCTTCACGCAATAACAAGCCTGCGGAGTACCCGGATTCTTCAATGGACCGAGTAAATCCGTAACTGACCAGGCAGGTGGGCTAGCGTAACAGGGCAGCAGGGTTATCAGCGCGCAAACATTTCCTCCCGACAAGATCTGGGAGAACCTTGGGTCTATCACGCTATTGTTTGGCGCGATAATGTTCATGCAAGTGAAACACTGAATAGTATTGTTGCACATGAAGCACAGATGCGTCTGTCCAGGTGTCGGCGTCGTCGTCGTCGTCGTCGTCATCATCGTCGTCGGTATCGTGGTCATCGGAGGGCTCGTTGTTGGTCGCTGTCTCGTGGTCGCCAGTGTGCTGCAGCAAACTTGATTGGCATTTGGACACAGGCCGTACTGTTGCCGCGGATTTATTATACCCTCGCCGAAAATGTTGACTATTCCGGTGCACAGTGATATCTCCATGCAGATGCAATTCGGAAGTACGGTAGGAATCGGTGGTACGGTCGGGAAAATGATCGGTGGTGATGTTGGACGAGTAGTCGGAGTTGGGGGTGATGTCGGAGGTATTGTTGGACGTGGTATTGTGACATTCCGCAACAGGTGGCAACAGACCTCGTAGACTTCAGAGCATCTATAAGTGCTGCGACACGATTATTACAATAATTAGTTACATCTTAAATTCTAGATCAAAATCGATCATAATTTAAAATTTAGTTTACCTAATGTGTATAAGAATACAGAATTTAATTCTATAGAAAATTTAAAAAGAGATACAATTTTAAAATAATTTAGAACATTATAAAATTAAATTTTAAATTTTAATTAAATCTCAATAGAGAGAATAAGACCAAATAAAAAGAATATATGAAATAAAATTAAGATTAAATAGATAATAAAAATTTATCGATGTTGATGAACTAACAAATAATATCGATTAAAATTACCGAATTTTGACCAACTCACCGAATATCGATTCCTGCACCATCAGTATGACTACCGCACAAATAGAACGCTACACAGATGCAAATTCTAGGCGGTGGAACAGTGGTAGTAGTAGTAGTAGTAGTAGTAGTAGTGGTAGTCATGATTTTATCCAGCTTCTGATACTGTACTTTGTACTTGAGAAGATGCAAAAAGAATATAGGCAAAGAGTTGGTGAATGACATCGCCTTCCGATTTTGAGGGAAGAGGTCGTTTCCCACTCGAGTCATTCGAACTGGTCTTTCGATCTGAACGAGTTCGCGATTCGTACCTTCCGAAAATGCGACGCCGATCATCATCATCATTGTCGCGACGACAATAACGTTCACTAGCAGCACGTAGCATTGCGGCATGACGACGAGTCGTTACTATCCGGTGGCCCGTGGTCTATTGAAGGACTTTTAACACGAGCGCACATTTATGTATGCAGGATGTGCTAATATTTCCCGGTTTATGGGGAATGTTCAGATGCAGATATGACGCTAATAGCATACTATCTTTTGTTATACCGACCAATTTTCGAAGGTAAAATATAATAGCGGCGTGTTTCATATATCACTATATTTCGAAATATTAAAAAAGAGAAAAAGAAGATATTAACGAATAATAAAAATGTTTATAACTCTACAAGCCACTTGATTAAATTTCAATTTTAATCATTGATTAACTTGCATGATTAACATTAAAATTTCGAATAATATAATTATCATTCATACTGTGCCAACGTGGATGCTGGTAATAAATGATATAATTATTATTCATAACATAATAGAAGTTTTGCTGTTCCAAAAAGTAGATCCTGCAAATTAATCAACAATTAAATTAATCGAAGTGGCCCTAAATAATATAACGAGAGTAACCTAGAGATATTCTGTTTAATTGGAATTACAAAGGAATGATCTTATTTGAGATAAAAAATAATAAATACTAAATAATTTCATGAACGGATGGTAACATTATTAGATCGGAAAATACGTATAAATGCAAAATTGAATATTAATTTCACAATTTAAATAATATAATTCTATAGTGTCAAGGACGAATATCGTTCGACTAGGCAAATACAAAGGATGTGACCTACTTACTAGCCGATACTGAAAGTAGCAACTGGTAAAAATTTTTATGAAAATACATATATAATATCCTTAAGTTGAATAATTAAAATGTTTCATTATAATACAAACTGTGCATTTTAAAATAATAATTACAACTTTATAGAATGAGAATAAAAATCAAATTTTATAACAAAAACATGCCAGTGTGTTGTGACGATTTATATAATTAGTTTATGCTGAAATAGCGACTATAGTTCACGCAAAAAAAAAAAAAAAATGAATTATTTAGTCTGCGTTGATTTAAAAATATTAATAAGATTAGTGGCTAGATAAATTGCCTTTTCGCACATGCGCGAATAAGTTATACTAATCTGTTTATACATATATGTATAAGACATAGATTCCGGGTAATGTATACAGTCACGTCATATTTTAAAATGAAGGGACAGAAAGTGTAACTCGTAGATCTCCGATAAATTTTGCAACGTTTTGTAACACGTTATACCATTGAATATATAACTAAAAAAAAAAGCGACATCATATGACGGAAGGTAAATAAATTGTCTTTTATTCAAATGCATATATATTCTCTATAATTCATTATTGAGCATAATACAATTTTGTACAAATATACTTAAATAACATATTAATATATATATAAAGCGGAAATAATAATTATCCTTAATATAATTAGAATGGCGAGATGATTACGATAATATGCGCAAGACTAATCTTAAAATACAAACGACTATAAAAAGAAGGAATGCCCAGAATGCACAAGATTTGTTCCGAATAAACGGAAATTTAATACGGTGAGGGGATACAAGAAAAATAAAAATCCAAAAGGTTTCATCGCACCAACTAGAAAATTCTCATTTTTGGATAAATAGTGTGTAATCGTTCGAGTTATGTGTTTGCGAACAAGAACGCTTAATCAGAGGAGCCTCGATCAATATCAGAGGCGACAAAATAATTATTTGTACAATTCTGTAAAACGTGCAACTGGACATTAAAATTATTGTGAACCTGGAATTATGAAATTTTTAAATTTCTTTTGGTTTTATATATATATATATATGAAATTTATTTCTTATTTGCTGCTTTAATCGTTATGATTTGCTGCTGCTATTAATTACGAGAATGCCATTGTACGGTTTCAGGTTATTATAAAGTCATCTCGCATTCTCTAAATCAATCGGTATATTGTGACAGTACTCTATATAGAAATTGCGCATATAATTCTAAGCTTCGGCAACGTATGCCATAAGGTACAAGGCGCATCATATCTTACAAAAGTAAGAACTTATTCGCACTATTAAATAGTATGCTTTATAAGTAATAATTACAAAAGTGTTTTTATATACACTCCAAAATTTTAGAAATATAACACTTCGTTGCTATATATTATTAATTTCTAATAGGAACAATTTCATAATTTGTCGTAATTTCTAGTATGAACAATTCTTATATACTATTTTATTGTTGGCAAAAAACAAAACTGGAAGTATTTATTGCACCGTCCTTCATAATATTCGAGTGCTTTATCCTATTTCTTTTTCTTTTCCAGCTGATATTAAACCTTTAAAACATTTCAATTCTTGAAAAAAGCTGTCATTCAAAGGTGATACATAATGCTGTCAAATTATCTTTTTCTATTCAAGTAATTATTATTTGTACATTCTTCAAAATATCATCAATGTTTATGCAAATAAAATTCTTAGTGCTATACTATTAAAGCTGATTAATGGAACATGAATTCTTTCGAAGATGAATTATATTTTGAGGATTGAAATGTGTCTTGAAGATCATAACTTGGTAAATAATAACTTCTAAATATTTCGTGATGTAATCTATTAAATATTGTAAACTAAATTTGCGACATTAATTATTAGCTGCTTTTAACTGATGGAATTAAGCGTATAGCGCTGAATTAACTCAATTTACTGTATGTGTACGCACATATACATATATTCTGTATCTTATATACTCTATATTTTTAATATTTTACTATACGAGTAACAAAAAATAGGAAAGCTTCGAACTTAAATTTTAATATTAAGTATTAAGTTGTAACAATAACTCATTTAACAGCAGAGTTATAAAAAAAAAATATCAGAGAAAAAATTGACATTTTTCTCGCGGGAACTTCTCTACGTAATTCGCACACATATTGATAAACTTTCCAAAGTAATTAAAAAGAAATGAAATAACATATGTATATTTATATATTAAATAGAAAAGGAATGTACAGATTTATTAAATTTGTTGATGCGGTAAAAAGATACAATACCCGATTTATTTTTCAACCACGTGTATTTTGCATGGAGATTATATGTATATTTATATATTATATAGAAAATAAATGTACAGATTTATTACATTTGTTGACGCGAATAAAAAGATACAACACAACACAATAGCTGATTTATTTATTATTCAACCACATGTATTTTTGTTTTCTCGGGGAAAATTTTCAAATTGTTAAAACTTTTTCAACAAATTTCATCTTTTTAATTATTTTAGAAAGTTTATCAATATGTAATTACGTGCCGAAAAAATATGAAAGCGTGTCCTTTCGCGAATTTTTAAAAAGTATCGGAAAGAAGCGTCGACTGCAAAAAAGCATGCGCCTTCTACGAATTGTCAAATCTTCTTCGAAGCGAAAGCCTACATATAAACACGAAGAAGTACCGTTTCGATAACAGAGTTTGTTTCGATGGCCTTGACAAGATCGTAGCGAGACTGACAGTGACAACAGTTCCAATATTCTCTGGATATGGCAATAATACGTACAATACACAGAATTGAGAACAGACCGTTTTGTGCCAACTGATAAAGCAAAATAAATAAAATAATCACGGAACTATATTTAAACATGTAAGATAACTTTTGAGGGAAAATTATTTTTATACAATTATTCTAGATTATTGCTACACAGACTTTTGATATCACGCAAAGGACACGCTTCCGCACACATATAAAAATATATAGATATTGCGATGATAATTTATAAGCTCATAAAATATACATCTTATAACGCTACAAGATGTATAAATTAATATCACTGCTCACGTAATGCTCGTATAAGAGCATCTATCACTTTCTTATTAACTATTCAAAACATTCGATGTCGGTCGATAAGACTTTCCATATTTTCGAAATGCACATTTCAAATTTGTCGTAAAAACGCATGTGAAATGCGCATATATAATAGTTATCTTTCATACGATATATTATACTTACACTATATATGTATGTATTAAACATTAAACTATATGTCTCATCAACCTATATCGTAAAATTATAAAAACTGAACATTTCATAAGGCACATGTTATCATCACAACGTTTGATTGAAAAAAAGGGAAGAAAACAAATAATGAATAATATTTTGAAAATTAATCGGTAGTGTTACGATTAAGTAATATTGATTCAACTTTCAATGGTAAATTACGATGTAATTATGATAAATCATATAATCGTCGAAACGTTCTGTTGAAACATCGCATATATAATGAAAAATAAATTAAAATAAATTAAAATAAAGACGTACGTTATTCTTGATTGCAATAATTTGGTATCAATTAGGCTATATATATATATATATATATATATATATATGAAGGAAAATGTTTAAATAGAAAATAATAGGCTAATGTACTGAAATATTTAAGCAAGGCTATAAGATCTCTCTTTTAAAAGATCACATTATTCTTGTCACTTCGAAGTCGAGACAGATGTTCTTACATTTGAACATGTGCAATTAATATAAAAAAATTGTATATAAAATTTTCTCGTTAAATTATCATATTGCATTTTGCACAATCTTTTTTTTTTTTTATTTGAATCATAATTCAATGAAATAAGCGCTCAAAAATGTCAAGTTCCAAAATTAAAGAAAGCGCCACAAACTTCGTCATATCTTTATATATGTCCAAAGTATCTAACGTACTTTTTATGATATATCACGTTAATCGTTATATTGACATCATATTGACTTTTTCATATTCTTGGCAAGAAGAGAAAAGAGTAGTAGAAATATATGGCACATTATAATATAAATGATGGATTCAGAAGAAAAATCATACAATATATAAAAATATATTTATAGCTTGTAATTTAGCTTCATTTCAGATACGACAAAGTTGTATCTAAAATGTTACAAATTACGAGCTTATTGTGTTCTTCCCATGAATTCTTCAAATATTTATATCGAGGATCTTTGGAATACGTAATCTTGTTATAAATCTAACTGCTTAAGACATGCGCGCATAAGGACATATCGAAATCTAAATTCGTGAAAAATTAAACGCTTCTATTATAATCATTTTAAAAGCAGCTAGCTTCTTTTGTCCATACACGATTCTTTCAATGTGACTTAATATATTATCGAGGGGCGTTATACAGGCGCGCGCATATATTTCCTACGATATTTAGAATCTTAAGAAAATATCTGTGTATATTTGTTCGTCGATGACATATTGTGAGTCACATTGAATTTTAAATATCTCTACTGTTTAAGAAATCATCGCGAAAGTATGTCGCGCGCGTGTAAAAAAATTGCGTTTAATCTTAAAATCACGACGTGAAATTGATGTATATGTGCCACTGAATCTATCATATCGCGCGATTCTCGAAATACGCGTAAACTTTTTCTCGTTCTAAATCGAAGTTTTTCTTCATTACTGCATTATGAATTATGACATGGAATGAGTTATATTACAAATAGGAAGAATGCGAGAGAGATGGGATAAATTATAAATGCAGGGGAAGAATGCGGAAGGGCGACGCGAAACTAACTAAAGTCACGTCTCGATCTCAACTTAGAACCGATGTTTCAGTGTATTCACGAGGATGCGAGATCACGTCAAGTGTCGATATTCGTCTGCACAGACGAGTGTAAATGTTAAGTACAAAAGTATATAAGAGAAATCTAAGAATCTAGATTATTTTATACGAATTCGTTGTCAATTAGACATGGATAGCCTCTGTTAACAGTGGAGGTGTATACTCAAAGAACGCCCGCTTCTTATTCCTTCCTATTGAAAATCTCGCGCTTAGAAGATATTGTTACTTCGTAAAATATTTGTCAATTGTGGGCGATGGAACTACAAAATAAAAAAAATTATATTCTCTTTTATTTTTTTTTTTTTTAATTTAAAAATATTGATATTTAATGATAATATTTAATTATAAATTGGGAGTGCAAAATGAATTATATATAAAAGTGACACAGGATGTTCTCTTGTATATAGTAAGTTATGTGTAGTTTAAAAAATATAATAAAAGGGATTTTTTTCGTTGAAATTATCATACTCAATTTAATAAATTATTACAATTTTTTAAATTTATATATATATATATATATATTGGAACAGTTTCTGTGTATCCACTATAATTTACTATTTACAAATTATATCAAAATCGAATAACATGAAAAACGCGTGTACTCTCGGGTTAAAAATTGTAGTATTGATATTGTCAAGATTAATTACGATACTTTTATTCCCTGTAAGTTACCTTAAGCAAAGTATAATCTAAAAAAATTACCTAAAAAAAAAAAAAAAGTTCCATCGCCCGCATGGAAAGTGTCATATGCCTTACTTGTTGCGACGTTTTCCCATAGAGTTTCTCGTCCATTTGAAGGTATTCGGTATGCTCATTCCCCACGGATTGTAAGGGCCCTTTGGACAGTATTTAACTGTGTGTGCTACATCGCCGCTTGCGCCACAAATCGGGCATGTATAAGCCCTGTTAATCAAACATCTCGATTTTTGCATGGTATATGAAGAAAAAAAAAAAGAATTTCGATCATGCCGTAAAATTACTTTCTGTTGAAGAAATCTGAACACCAAGGCTAATAGCACCGTAAAATACTACATTGTAGACATTTATCATGGGAATATTTATGAAATAAAAAATAAATGTCGATCCTTTCTCTGTTGTCAATTAAATTAAAATCTAAGGTATTTAAAAGAAAATAAATTCAAGAGATAGATTGATTCATAAAAATAATTTTCTATTTATTCACTCAGTCTTTTTTACGCGCACGTGCGTCACATTCTTATTTATAAACACTAGTTATCTATTTAAATGTATGGTGATTATTTCGTATGGCAATCGTATCGTCTTCAAAAAAAAAACTCTCACAATATATCACTTGACTATATATTTATCATTTACATAACACCCGTTTCGACTACGAAAGTGAATAAAAATGATGCAATATCTTAACGCCAAAAGCGATAAAATTTGTATTTGAGCGTTATAATTAAACTATACCTGAGAACGGGACATATGATACGTCCATCGATGTCCTTTAGCAAGTGTTTCCGATAATATGCCTCTTCCTCCCCGTTATTTCTGCAAAAGACGCATTCCGTTGGTAAGGGTTTCTTGTTCTTCTTTCGCCGCGGCATGTTCTGTTTCGTTACGTCTATATCGAAGTCTGGACAATACTCATAGTCGCGGCCATTGTGTCGAAATTCTTCCATCACTTCTTCAACTATGACAAAAATTTTAAAAAATCGTAGAAAAATAAGAAGACTATTATTTATTAGATGCAAATAAGAACAAGTATAAACTAGAAATTTTTTCTTCACAAGAATACCTCTCATTAAACAACAAATTTTCTTTAATTGGTAACATACTAAATACTATAGCAATAATATAGATAACATTCTAAAATACTAATAATATTATCCTGACATCTATTTCATTTTGTTCGAGGTTCCTGGACCAACATCGTTCCAGGATTAAGATTAAATTTTCGCGTAAACGCATAAATTATATTTATAATAATAATTATATTATAATTTATAAAAATAAATATGTCATTTACGTTCATTATCAAATAAAGAAACTACTTAGAAAATTCGTCAAGATATAATATGTTTTATATGTTTTATAAATTTAATACAATCATGCATAATATTAAAAGTTTGAGAACATAAGATTATATCGCAAATAATATCACCGTCGACATAACATTAAACATTAAATCTAGGATCGATTCTTACTTAACAAATGCGATATAACGACGCAACTGTATACAAAAAAGAAAAAAAAAATGTAAACGTATCTTTTATCCTGTTTCGGAATAGCAGAGTCTCAAGCTGTTTTCTATAATGCAGGCAGAGCGAGAGTGTAATTCGATATCGGCCGCTGATTTGTAAACATGCACGGCCTTTCTCGGACCGAAAATCCGATAAGTGTTTAACCGGGCACGATATTCGTCATCGGGAATCGGTATCGAAAGATAAACAAATCCTTGCACGCAACCTCAATCAAACTTTTGTCTCATCGTCGATGAAATAAAAGCTACTCGCCCGAATACTCGCCGGTACCGGCGCCGGGTCATTTTCACAAAGAGTACCGCGATCGCGGTCACGAAAGATGTACACGTGCAAAATGCGATAAGAGATTACGGTCGGCGTAGCCGTGATCCGTGTGTATCGCGGCAACGATCATCAATAAAGGAATATTTTCGGCTGCAAAGAAAGTTTTACTGACTCGTGCCAGAATAAAGAATCATAGGAAGATAATCTAGTGGTTCTGAAAAATTCTGGAAAAATAAACTCTAATGGATTACAACAAGAATGGACTAAAAACGAACTTGAAAACAAATCGAAAATTGGAGAAATTATAATATGAAAGCTTATTATATGTTTGTTAATACAGATGGACCCAAAATTATAATATAACCATAAACGGAATAATATTCTTTGAGTAAAAATAAAAATTGAAAATAAAATATATTTTCTGATATACTATACAAAGCTTCATTTTCGAGAAAATTGATTTTGAAAATTAATAACAATAATATTTACGCTTTTTTTAAACTTTAATAATCTGTATAACAGCTTATGTTTTTTACATATTATCGAATTCATTTCAACAGCAGCTATAAAGAAACGTGTATAAATATATAAATTTCATTAAAAAAATTAAAATCTTGATATCTTTCTACATATTTTTTTATTAATTTTGATTATTTCAAATTGTTTTACCAAATAAAATCTGTGTAAATTTTTATAATTTTTTGATATTAATTATTTTTATAATCATAATGAAATCTTTATATTTTTTTATTTATATATTAGTGATTTCGTTGAGATTCGATGGCATAGATGCCTATTTAAATAAAACCGACTGACGCATCGAAATATAATGCGATTGTCAAGTTGATGAGTCATAGGCTACATATGTGAAGTAATACATATTTTTAACCAACAATAAAGGAAAACACATTTACTATTCATGTTAATTTACTGATTAAAACAATGAAAGCCTAAATTATTTTGTTATACAAGAAAAATTTAATCGTATTCTTAAATATTTTACATCGTTAAATTTATTACATCCAATGTTTTGCTCGTTTATCAAGCAATTAATTAAAAAATCTCCAGACACTTCGCGATTGACTACAGTTTTCTTTACTTAAAAATCTCAATCTTCAATCAACAAACCAAAACCTGTCCTTTATTTATTTTTCTTTTTATATAGTTTATATAAGCTTTTGTGGAATTACTAATGGTATTTGACATCGTCAAATCCAATCATAAATCATAAGTTTTGTCAATGACACGGACAGTTTTTAATCGCAAAAGGTTTATATTTAACATTTCAAACGAAGCTATGCATTTCTCCATATTAAACCAAAAACATGGAAAATAAAAGAAAAAAAATATGCAAGATCTATTTGCATCATGTGATTTTCTAACATTATTTTATTCGACAATTATCCATTATCTCTCTTTTTAAAATATAAAAATTTCCTTTCTTTTTATAGCTGCGTTCTCTTTTATATTTTTGCATTTAAAATAAAATAATCATATACTTAAGCTTTAAGCAAAGAAAAAGAGATGTAAACTATAGGAAGTAGAATAAAAAAAAAGAGAGAGAAAAACAAATCCTGTCTCGTATATCCTAAGGCAAAAATATAAAAAGATGCAACAGTTTTTAAAAAAATTTGCACAATGCAGTCAAACGTTATAAAAGTTTTCCCAAGCTTAATATAAGCATGTCCTTCCTTTTTTTTCCGACCGGTCATAAAATATCATAAAAGTACCTACACTTTCTTTTGAAGTTTCCTTAAGAAAAATCGAAGTATACCTGATGTATTAGTTGAATTTTTGTTCTCATATAGAGTACAAAGTACAATAAGAAAATCCGTTAACTACGGGGAATTAGCTAGCAATTAACTAATATAGGTAGATCACAGATAACGTTAAGTATGTATTATAACTCTTAAATAATTACGACAAGAGGGACCGTTAAATCAATTTTCTCGGCAGCGTTAATTTCTAAAATTATAAACATTCCATCCTAAATTCCGTTATAAATAGCACAGATTTTTAGCAACTCTATAAATGTATATACAAATAATACAGAGATTATCAATAAATCCAATAAGATACAACAACATACCATTTGGCTGTGGCCTTTTGCTTACGGCGATGTCGAATAGCCGCTTTATTTCTTCGTCCAAACTGGGATTAAACGGGAACAAAGAATTTTCCTGCAACATTGGTAACATGACGCACATGATCCGTTAATATGCTACGACAGTTCGTAGCCGATTCTTTCGCGCGGAACTTTAAGAAACTTCGTATTTCTCGCGGACGGATAGCTTATTCGGCGAAGCAAGTGAGGCGCACAACAACCGACGTCAGCGACTTTCTATCAACTACTGATACCGATACCGAAGACTCTGGGAACAACGAACAACGTGCGTCGCCTCTTGAGTCCCCCCTACTCGTAACTCGTAGTCGAGTGGTGGGAGAGTGAGACTCTTCTCCCGTGTTCGACGTATCAGCGGCAAGCTCTCGACGTTAGAAAATGTTGCGGCGAAGAAAGAGACAAGGTGTCGGTACGGAATCAAAACGACCGATTCGTCGTTTTGTTTATTACGTGACCTAGCCACGATAAAAGCATTTCGGCGTTTCCTGGAAAGACAGGTCGGCGACGAATGTGCGTGCCAGATGGGCTGGCATGCGATGATGATCGATCAGGCGATTTTTGACGACAAGCGAATATTTCGTCTTCATTTTTAAGATCTCCGATGAAATTTTATAATATAGTTCTTACAATATATTGATTATATTTTGATATCTTTCAACATTATCATTCAATAATATTTTGCACCGATCGGATACGAAAGTGATTCGAAGGATATGACGCAATAAGAAATATATGTATCTATATTTAGTTTTGAAACAAGATTTTCCATCTTAAATAATATATAAATTTATTTTATTATAAACTAGCCAATACTTGCCATTGTCTGATTATGAAACGAAAGACAAAATAGGAGGATGATTCACAATTATGTCTGTTCGGTGCGTTCGTTTGTATAATTAGGCGTAGTTATCGAAACATATGTGTGATACTATATCCCTAAAGAAAAATATATCTAGAAAGAAGTTAGCAAAAAGGGACAGAAGGGAGAATGGCCTAAGCTCGTTAAATTTGGGCCCTGCTTTTGAGCTTCAGCGTATAACATAACGATAAGAAGCAACGTCATAATCAAAACCAGTATCCTGTTTTTTCGAAGATAATAGATACATTATAAAAAATATTGGTTAATGCATTACTTTTCTTGATGAACGGAACGCGAATATATTTATACTGTATGCATATACATATGAAACATACCATTATATCGTATAATCACATTTATTAATCAATTATGCATAAGTTACATATATACGCGTTCGTGGACATTTATAAAAATAATATATAACAAGGGAATTTTTTTTTCATCAGAGCTGGTGTCTTTTTTTTTTTTTAATTTTCAAAAAAGCCATATATAGAAGAGAGGAAGGAACTGAGATTAAAAAGACTCAGGTGATTTCACTAATCTTCATCTTTATTATTACTGTGTAAATATGTAGGCACTGAACAAATAATGTTTCATAATTTGTTTACAAACATTTACACTTACTGATCTTCGTCTTTTGTTCAATCAATGAATATTCTTCGCGAGATAACAGCCCTCGAATAGCGTTCGACTATACAAGGCTGTCTTATATGTGTATGTACGTGTGTATGTGTCCGACGTGTCTATAACACACCCGAACCTTAATAATTCTTACGGTAAATATACCGGTTGTCGTCCTTACGGCACATTACATGCGCTCGATCCCAAATTTCTAATTTGCGACCTTAATTACTTTATCAATATATATATATACTTCACTTTTATGTATGTATACTTCAATCTCTATATACGCTAAATATATTGTTCTTCTAAGTTTAAGAATTACCACGATTATTATAAAGATAAGTATACATATCTATATATACTTTAGAGAAATTATAATTAAAATTAATATATAGCAATCATGATAAAAAAGTGTCAAATATATATATATGTATATATCGTGTAGAGGAATGAGGCGAAAAGGAAGAATGGTTGGAGTAGGAGGATGGAGGGGGAAGGGGGGAGGGCAGGAAACAGTAGGAAAGAGAAAAGATACTAAGAGGTAAAAAACGCAAATTCTAACTTTGGCTAAGAGACTGACATTTCGCGTCTTAGAGCGCGACGTCGGCTCCCCTCTCGATCCGCTGTCGCGTTCTCCAATTTCGAAATGTCGAACTAAATAAAGAGGAAATTGGTACAAAGTCTTGAGAGTTATATAAATGAGCTCGACAAGATGTGTGTGTGTGTGTGTGTGTATTACTTATTTTTTTCAAATGTCGTGCTGTGTATGTATGCGTACAATAACCGTACATCGGTAAAAGAATGAAACTTTACATTAGGATATCTCAAGGTCATTTAGTATTATCGGCTAATCGCTTTTCAGCCTTTTCCGTGTCTCAGATATAAAACTAAAGGGGGTGGCTGGCAAAGCCATCTTGTAAAACTATATTCATATATTTTGTTCTCTCTTTTTTTCTCTCTCTATTGCGCTCAAGTGTGTGTGTGTGTGTGTGTATGTGTTTTTTTTTGTTTTTTTTTTTATTAGAAACGTTCTTTATACTGTAGACACAGGTCGATAGATTTCACTGTTCGTGCGTTTATACATGAGACACTCCGTATTATTCAACGCGAAACACGCTCTGATGTGACGTCGTTATTACCGATGATGATGACGATAATAAATGATGCCGATGATGATTAATGCGCACGGTAGGTATCGTGATTTTCACTTGCATTAATTTAATTTAAGATTTTCACTTGCATTAATTTAATGATCATTCGCAAACGTCGATATCGCGGTGGTCCGTTTTTTTGGAATAGCTACAATTATAAATATATTTATATATATGTTTTTTATATATATAAATATACACATACATATATGTATATATAATTGTATATATATATATATATATATATATATATATATATATATACTAGGAATGTACATAGTGTACGTTGAGAGATATCTTTTAATTAGATTGTGTATAAAACGATGATACATACTATATTATTCGTTTATATCAAACGACACATAATTATGATATCGATTTTTTTTTAGTCTCATGGTACGACGTTCCAGGGCACACATTCCAGGCGCGTCATTCGCCAATAGGCTAATATAATATATAATAATAGTCTTGTCCTGTTATCTCGCACAATGTGATCGCGCGCTCACGCACTCTACGCTGACTCGCACGCAATCTCTCATTCGACCCTTTTAAAAAAGAAAACAACGATTGCCACACCCGATGCGTGCTTATGATACAAGAGCCTCCAAATGAATGGCCATCAGTCTTTGAATGTATGATTTGACATTTCACATAATTCATATAGTGATATTTAAAATTCATGTCGGAAAACCGATATATTTTGTACTTCAAACAAAATTTGATAGCAAACATGAAAGAAGAAAAATTTGTATACATATTAAATAAAAATAGA